CAGTGTTGGGGAAAGTTACTTTTAAAAGTAATGTATTACAGTATTGCATTACTCCCTAAAAAAGTAACTAATTACGTTACTTAGTTACTTTTTATGGAAAGTAATGCGTTACATTACTTTTGCGCTACTTTCGCGATACTTTTTCTATATGAGCAGGGGTTGGTTGTTTTTAATATAAGAAGTTCTATCTATAGCAAATGTAAAAGCCCTTTCACACCAAAAAGTGTAATGAATAAACCTCAGGCTAAAGGAAAAGTAAATTCACGTCTGTACAGCAGAAAGCAGGAGAAGAAACACTCTTCAGCAATAAAAAAACAATGAAGCACAATTGTTAGTTTATCTAAAGTCATTTTTGCTTGTTAGTATGGTTGAACTGGATCATCAAAGGTCAGCAGCAAAGACATTGGTTAATAAAATGGAATTAGATACATTTGTGTTATTTAAAATATTTAATTATTGCAGGTTTGCGTCATATTCTGAGTTTGCATTTCACTGTTTTAATTAATTTTGATGAATACTAAATCTGTTTTTTGTGAGTTGGATGAATTAATGCACATTCACATTTAGTCTAGAACTACAGTAGCATCATGTTCACACAGCGCACACAACTCCTCTGCACTTCTGATTTCTCCCAATATGGGGACAGGAGAGCTGTCAGTCAATAAACGGGAAAACAAAGTAACTGGCGTTACTTTTTCGAAAAAGTAACTCAGGTATTTTCTTGTAAATTAAAAATGTAATGCGTTACTTTACTAGTTACTTGAAAAAAGTAATCTGATTACGTAACTATGCAATGCGTTACCCCCCACACTGCTGTTTATTGATCTTAGCACAGCCTCAAATTCTACTCTTTTGTTTCTTTTCACTCATCAGATAAGAAAAAGAGAAAGTGCCCGTCAAACTTCTTTGCTTGTCCCAACGGTCGCTGTATCCCTATGAGCTGGACCTGTGATAAGGAGAACGACTGTGAGAGCGGAGATGACGAGGCGCACTGTGGTGAGTTTCACGTGTGTTTGTATTTCTGTCATCATGGAGACTTATACTGTCCCCTAACACTTCACTACCCCTAATTTTTGCCATTTTCATTTGCACATTATTTATTTAGCATTATTAATAAACATATAGTATGTTTATTAAGCGGATCTCCTCATGGACGGTTGGCTACTCCTTAAATGTAATATTCAAAATGGGGACATACTGCAGATTTTATTGTTTTTATGTAAAGCTCAATAAAATCGACATATCCTAAACTAAAACCTAAAAATCTAACTAGGATAAAAAGACAATTTTAGGGTATATAAAAAAAACATGATTTATTAATGGAAAAACAGCATGAAGTGATTAAATATGTAATTGTATTAATTCAAAACAAGATGAAATAGAACATTTTAAAGTGTAATGAATAGCATGACTAAAGAATCACAGAGAGTAGTAGCAGCAGATAATAATAATAATAATACAGAAAATACAGAAACCAAGAAAACAGAACTATATACTAACTTAACATACTTAACTGTATGCATTGTTTCATTGTTCTCTGTTTTTTTGTAAGTGCTTTAATAAGCTTTCTTTAAAGAGCTTATGTAAATTAAATTATTGGTCACACTTTAGTTTGGGGACCAGTTCTTACTACTAACTAAATATTAACTAGGACTTTTGCCTCAAACTCCTAATTTGCTGCTTATTAATAGTTATTAAAGCTAGTAGTTAAAGCTGCAGTCCGTAAGTTTTGCCTCTTTGTCGCCATCTCTGTTTGAAAACCTGGAATTGCAGCTGTGTGCAGAATTATCTAGCTTTCGTGGGTTGTGAGTCGGCTCGGCTGCAGCACGGATTCATCTAATTGAGGAGTATGTGTGGCAGTCAGTCACTGCACCGGTGTGGATATTTACTGTACTTCACAATCACAGATTCTAGCCTACGTCTTGGAATATGACCCAAATAAGAATTTTCACCGTATATTGCCATATGAACAAGTAAGTTCACAAGTCTGCCACGTTTGTTCTGACCAACTGAGGAAAAAAGCATTACCATAAACCTCGCTACCAATGGTGATTTAATCTAAAGATCGGTTAGCTCATATCACATCAAACCGTTCAAATTATTATTATTGTTATACTTTATTCTCAAATGATTAATGTTAACAACATCAGCATTGGTGACTATGAGTATAGTGTGTATTAGCATGTAGATTTCAATTTCTGCACAGTCTAATCTAATTGTCATACTCTTCGAATTTCATATTAAGAAATTCTTTTAACCCAAAAAGCTAATTATGCTCCCTTCGAACTGGTTTTCTTTAAAATACAAATCTTTGTAAACCCAGGCTATCTGCAATCAGAAACACATTTATAACTGTAACATTTCATAAACACATAATCCTTTCTGGATTACAATCCGTCATCAAAATGATAAATTTAATTATTCCGGCTGCTGTGAGAAAAGGCTATAAACGATCGGCCACCTGCAGGATCCTCACATGCGATAGCCTACTAGCCGGGACAACTTCTTTATGTTTACAGACGTGACGTAATGACGCAGTGCCATGCTCGAATTTCCCACGAAAACCTACCCGTACCACTCAAATTAGAAAACATTATTATAAACTAACCGTTGTGAATCGGGCTAAAGTAAGGCGATAGTTTTGAACACTGGCTGGTTATGTACTTGCTCAAATATTGATTTCGGATAATTTTTAACCAAAAAAAGTTACGGATTGCAGCATTATTTTTAGGTATGGTGTGGATTAAGGGATCTAAAATCTGTTCATACAGAATAAACCATTAATATGTGCTTTATAAGTACTAATAAACAGCAAACAACCAGTAATATGCATGCTAATAAGCAACTAGTCAATAGTGAGAACTGGTCCCTAAACTAAAGTGTTACCAAATTATTTTATATTCTTAATATATAATTATTATTATATATATTTATATACTTTATTAGTACTAGGTTTATTATTTTTAAACAGAAACTGAACTGAATACATATCAAGAGTAAACATGATGCAGGTCAACATTACAAAACAAAAAAACGCTTATGTATTCTGTGTCTTTGTGCTTTTGTTTCGTAACACCAAAGGCATTTATAAACAATTATTAATTTTTCCAAATGAGGTTTTGTCAGATTTATATCACTTTAGGGGGAAATTTTGTTCCCAGCTCGGCACGGTTCATTTAAGGTCTGTCTTTTAAATGTGTTCTTTCTGCAAGAATCTTTTGAATAATTAACTAACGGATCGTTTAATGATTCTGCTCAGATAAGTTCTGCTCAGCAACGCAGTTTGAGTGCGGGAATCATCGCTGTATTTCCAGCAGCTGGGTGTGTGATGGGGCGGACGACTGTGGAGATGGAACAGATGAGGACAGCAGATGCAGTGAGTGCTGATCCTTAAAAACAGCGTGAAATAGGACGTTTTAAAGTGTGACTGATGAATCCCAGAGAATACGACCACAGACATTTATCAACATAATGAATGACAGTGCATTTTTTCTAGACATTGTTTTCTAAGTTGCTGAATCATGTGTGTTTTTAACTCAGAGAATAAAACGTGCAGTGCGGATGCGTTCCACTGTCCGGATTCACACAAGTGTGTCCCGCAGCGCTGGGTTTGTGATGGAGACAGAGACTGTCCGGATGGAGCTGACGAGAGCCTGAAGGCCGGCTGTGGTGAGCGCTCAAATACATCATTTGTTTTGGTGCAAATACTGTGCAAATGACTCAGTAAACATGTCTGTGTGTATTATTGTTTCTCTTTCGCTCAGTGTTCAATAACACGTGTAAGGCGGGAGAGTTCATGTGCCAGAACAGACAGTGTATCCCCAAACACTTTGTGTGTGACCACGACAGCGACTGCGGCGACGGCTCTGATGAGTCTCTGGAGTGCGGTATGTTCATGATTACTCCAAACAAAGATGATTATGAGATGATTATCTCATAATTACCAAATAATGAGATGAATTATGGCAAATGATTTGTAAGATGTCAATACTTAACTCTCGCTTGAATTATATCAAGGCTTTAGTCAAAATAAACAAAAGCAAGTACAGAAGAATTAGAATTATTCAGAGTATATATATATATATATATATATATATCAATTCTCTCTAATTGCACATGATTAAATGAGTTGTAATTTTAAAATATTGCAAATTTACAATACAGTATATCGCCTTCTATAAGGTATGTTGAAAAATAAAATGAAAAATAACAAAATAATAAAAATGACAAAAACAAAGTTACTAAAACTTTAATTACAATTAAAGTGGAAGCAAAAAATAAAATAAAAATATAAATAGTATATCAAAATAACACTGACTTTTGTTAATATCTGTTGCCGTGTCTGAATGCAAAGTTACTAAAACTTTAATTAAAATTAAAGTGGAAGCAAAATATAAAATAAAAACCTATAATAGTATATCAAAATAACACTGACTTTTGTTAATATCTGTTGCCGTGTCTGAATTTTTTTTGCAGTGTGACCACACCTTAAGGACAAATAGTTTGTTAAGACTAAACTAAGGCTGCGTCTACACGAAGCCAGAGCTTTCCCTATCCGATTTTTTTCCCCCTCGTCTCAAGAAATATCTGCGTCCACACAAAACCACAAAATGATGTAGTATACACGGCAGACCAGTATGTGGCGCTGTAGTTCTGCAACAGAGATACACTAAAAATGGAGAAGAAGACTTGAATTATGCGCATAAACCTTGCGCGCGGTATACAAACGAACATGGAACAATACATTTATTAATCTGTGTTAATGTTAGTTAATAAAAAGACAATCGTTCAGTGTTTGTTCATGTTTTTGTTGCTGTTACGTGACGTAGCGGTGTCTGACTAAGGGCGAGACGTGGGCTGATGACGTCATCGTTTCAGAAAATATACGGATTCGCTGTCCACACGAAAACGCAAGAGTGACGTTTTCAAATCTATCCACTCTGGGGCCCGATTTTAAAAAATATCGGATTCACTCTCCCAAAACGCCGGATCCGTGTGGATAAAACGCCTATACGATACAAAATGTATGCGTATACAGCTAAATGTGTCTCCGTGTGGACGGGGCATAGAAGAAGTAAGGGATAATCCATGGCTAGCTGTGCATTTAATGGTTTTAATGCACACCTGCCAGCCAATCAGAATCGAGAATTCAGAAAGAGCATGGTATAAGAGAAAATAAAACATCAGGGAAGCTATTTTACTGTTTTGGTACCCATCACTACAGAAGTGCATGTTTTTAATACATACGACTTCGCGCTATCGTTTGTGATCATGGGTCTGTATTTGTCTTTGTAGAGTATCCTGCATGTAAGGCCAATGAGTTCCGCTGTGATAACGGCCGCTGTCTGATCCAGAAATCCTGGCAGTGTGACGGAGAGTTTGACTGTCACGATCACTCAGACGAAGCTCCCAAAAATCCTCACTGCAACGGTCCTGGTATGAATCCAACAGTCTATGTGGCTTCATGCTACCAAAGTGTGAAGGATGTCTAAAAGAACAGCGAGCGTTTGGGACGGGGCCAAACTAGTTCTGAGTCACAGCACAATGCAGACGCACTAATAAAATATACCACATCAAACTGAGTATCTTTGAAACGGCTTTAGAAAACAGTGTCCTAATGGATACAGTAGAGACCTGCAGTGCATTTAACGGTTCTTTCTCTTCTTCCTTAAAGCAGAAAAGAAATGTAATGACACGGCGTATGCATGTGGGAATGGTAAATGCATCAGTGAGACGTTACTGTGCAATCACAATGATGACTGTGGCGACGGGACGGATGAGCTGAACTGCTTCATTAATGAATGTCTGAACAGTAAACTGAGTGGCTGCTCTCAGCTGTGTGATGACCTGAAGATCGGATTCAAGGTAAAGATTTTAGATCATCTTAATGCCTGTTTCCTCCCTCAGAAATGGCGATGTGGAACTTTGTTTGTTTATTTGATTTGCCTATTGCACTGCCAGTAATTATTCTCTTTATCAGTAACACAAAACACCAAAATATATTTATAGTTTTATTCTAGTTTCTTGCATTGTTTTTATGAATGTGGGTACGTTTCGTAAAAAAGCAACATTTTGAACAAAAAGCTGAGAAAATCCAATTTTTATCAAAGACTGTCTGGATTGGATTCAGAATGATGATCAAAACATAGATGGAATAGATCGCTTCCATCAACACTCACAAAGCTTCACAGTCCTAAACCACTTCCTGAGTCGACATTTCATTCAGTAACGTTAGGCAGTTTTGATCTATATGCTGTTTAATGTTTGATGATTGCGTTATTTTACATATGCATCAGCTTACATACGCGATCGCTTGTTTCTGCTGCTGCTTCACTGTTTTGATCCAGACATTCAGTACTCTTTCAGAAAATGCATAATAGCGCCTCCCAGTGCTTGAAGTGGGCCGGGCCTTGAATGCATGTGGGGTGCGAGAGCATGTCAGGGGAGGCGCGCAGAGTAGTAGAATAATAATTAATTATTGATTACTAAAATCAATAATACGACAAATATCGAAACGAAAATAATATCTTAAAATGAAAAGAAGCAGGCTTTTGCGATCAACCTGCTGCCAAGATGGCGATGGCCGGCTCTTTACTACCTTTACCGGTAGTAAAGGCAGGCGATTTAGTGGTCTTTGACGTCTCCCTGTGGTCCTGTTTGGTATCGCAGCTTGACTTGTGCTAATTTGTATTGAAAACTTTTATTTAATTATTGATTGATTGATTGTTGCACTATACATACATTGTGAATTATTAAAAAGTACTTTAATATAAATAAATAAATAGGTGGGTGGGGGGTGAGTACCAGCACTTCTTTTTTTCCACTTCAAGCACCGCCTCCTATCGTATAACAGCAAAAACATGGAAAGCTGGAAAACTCCGACAATGCTCTTATTTCCAGAGAATATATATACGTGTGTGTGTGTGTGTGTGTGTGTGTGTGTGTGTGCATATTTTTTTAGGGCTGTCAACGTTAACACATTAGCGCATGCAATTAGTTCAAAAAGTCTTAACGCGTTACAATAATTTAACACAATTACTGAAGCACAATTTCTATTCTAACCTTTTAACTCGATTGCGCTTCTCTGTATACGATCAGATCATTTTAAGCTGCCAAACTCCGGGAAAGTGCAGTGATCCAGTAAGCAAATGCATTCAGACAATCAGTCCAAATCAGTGCTAATGTAAAGAAAACCAGGCTGATTACATCAGAGATGGCAGAGAGAATAGAGACTCGCGTTGCATTTTCAGTGAATTATGCTTCGAGCTCTCAACAGACCGCTTGTATGATACACAGACTACATTTTCTCGGCTGGATAAAGCAAACCAGCTTCTCTCTAGTAAAGGTTTGTTGGTTAAGGATTGCAATCAAGGTAAAGATGATGCAGTGACATACAGGAGTCGTACAGTAAGCACCGTGAGTCTGATATATTGATGCACAAACAAGATGAGCGCTCTTGACGCACAGATCATACATTTTACTTTTGCCAGGACACATTTTAGTACATCCACGTTGTTTCCACACACATTAATGATATAATGTTTTGATTTGTCATGTGTATGTTGCTGTGTTTAGTCATTCTGAATGGATCCATGTGCTGGTGGGTACATGCAGTCAGCTCAAGGCTGAGGTTTAGGGTTTTTAGGCATCTCTCTGTGGTCCTGTTTGGTATCGCAATTTGATTTGTCTATTGTACACATACTATAAACTATACATTCTGAAAAATATTTTTCATTATTATATTTATTTTTTTATTTTTTAATGTGTGCTCTGCTGTGCACAAATGTATCAATTATATGGACTTCTTATATCATTTGGTTCTTTGGTGTCCTTTTGGAGTCTCCGAGTATCCTTTTTATGTAAAGACATCTACATTTATCTTGAAATAAGCTTTCAGAAAATACAGTTTTGTAAGAATCACCCTTCAATCTTTCAGTTCACTTTACTGGATACAGTAAATAATGACCAAATGAATGTGTTAAACATGATAACTGGTATATTCTTTATTTCATGATAAGTATGTGATTAATTGTGATTAATCACACAATCTGATTAAAAATTTTAATCTATTGACAGCCCTAATATATCTATATATTCAATTAGGTGTACTTCATCCTTTTTTGTTTTGCTTTTTGTTTTGCCTTGTGCGTTGTGTATTTTGTATTGTTTGTTTTGTATTAATTTAACTATATTCTGAAAATTAATTTCATATATTTAGATTTATAGTTTGGGTGTGAGACAAGGGCATAACAATGAAGTCTACAAATACAAAGCATTTGAAAAGTAGGAAAAATACTTTATTAGCAGAACTTTTGTCCCCAGGGAAAGAAGAAACATTCCTTTGTTGACTCCTTTATATAAATGCAGTCAACACTGTGAAATCATAAAATGAACAGGTATCACAATCCGATACTTACCGTTCTTATGTGTTTCTCCCTCCAGTGCAGATGCCGCCCTGGCTTTAGACTGAAGGATGATGGGAAGACCTGTGTAGATGTGGATGAGTGCTCCACCACTTATCCCTGCACACAGCACTGCATCAACACTCACGGCAGCTTCCGCTGTGTGTGTGTGGATGGCTTCCAGCTCAGCCCCTCCGACCCCACTGTCTGCAAGTCCACCTCCGGTATGAGTCAGACGGCCGATCTGTCCATTATAGTTACGCACAAGACATCTGGCCATGTTACATTGTAGGATGATTCAATTAGATCAGGGTTTTTCAAATGATTGTGAAAATATGAAAAGTACACTTTCCAAAGGAATTCACCACTGGATTTGCCATTTGCAATGTTGATCCATCGTTATAAAAAAGAATGAACCTTTTAAATAAGTGTCCTGTTCTGTTGTTTCTTTTTTTACTTTAATATGTCTTCATTTTCTCTCACTTTACTGTACAGACGAGGAGCCGTTCCTTATCTTCGCTAACCGGTATTACTTGAGAAAGCTCAACTTGGACGGCTCAAACTACACACTTTTAAAGCAGGTATGATTTAACACTAGTTTTTCAAACTCTGTACCATAACATTTCATTCCAGTTGTTTGCCTGGTTCCTCATGAATGATTGCTTTCCCAGGGTCTGAACAATGCTGTTGCGTTGGACTTCGACTACAGGCAGCAGATGATCTATTGGACAGATGTGACGACTCAAGGCAGTATGATACGACGCATGCACATCAACGGCAGCGACGTTCAGGTGATTTGCATGCAACTTCGTTGTTTTGAATATTAAAGAAATAGTTCACCCAAAAACGAACGTTTGCTGAAAATGTGCTCACTCTCAGGCTATCTAAGATGTAGTTGAGCTTCTTTCTTCATCAGAAAAGTTTTGGAGAAATGTAGCATTTCATCACTTGCTCAGCAATGGATGCTCTGCAGTGAATGGGTGCCGTCAGAATGAGAGTCCAAACAGCTGATAAAAACATTACAATAATCCACACCACTCCAGTCCAGCGAAAAACTGCATGTTTGTAAGAAACAAATCCATCAAGACATTTAAGTTTAAAGCATTGCTTCTAGCTAAATATGAGTCCTATATCCATAATATTGCTTTCTCCAGTGAAAAAGTTATCTTGCTTGAATCAGGAGAGAAATATGCACAGGTCAAGCACTGATTATAAGCTAAAAGAGTCCAAAACAGCTCTAAACAAACATGTCTGTGTATTTTGATGTGAGAGACAATATGGGATGGACTTTTTCACTGCAGGAAGCGTTATGTAAGGAATAATTGACGACAGGCCATTGAATCATTATAAAATATTGCACGCCCTTCGCAGAGTGGCTGTTACACCTCGGGTGTGCATTATAGAGATTGCGTGTGTGTTTGTGCGTCTCTCAACAGAGTTTGGCAGCAGCGTCTCTAATAGTGAAATTGTAAGATTTCTTTCCGTGCATAATAAATAATAAAATGCAATTTTGTGGCAAAAACACAGAAATAATTTGTCATTTTTATCCTTTTGTTTACTATAAATATTTGCTTATTTAGTGTCGTTGTGGGTTTTGGTTCTTTTGCTGTTTTAGGCTGTAAGGATCTTTGAAATAACTTAAATCATTTGGTGAAGTGATATGAACATGTAATGCGGTCAAGACCTGCTTGGAACTACTTTAGCCGTGCGTTTCCCTGAAATTAATTGCACACCTTAGAACATTCGTCAGCCAATCAGATTCAAGCATTCAACAGCCCCATAGTATAACATGGATTATGGTATACAAGCAGCTGCGTTAATTGGATGACTTGTGAATTCTTGTGATGTTTTTATCAGCTGTTTGGACTCAAAAACTGAAACTTTTCTGAAACTGGACTCTGCTGCAGGTTCTCCATCGCACGTCTCTCAGCAACCCTGATGGTCTGGCTGTCGATTGGGTCGGGGGTAACCTGTATTGGTGTGATAAGGGGCGGGACACTATTGAGGTGTCGAAGCTGAACGGAGCATACAGGACAATGCTGGTCAACACGGGACTGAGGGAACCCAGAGCCATAGCTGTGGACGCCCGCAATGGGTAAAGATTGAAAATACCTTAATTGCTTTCTTTCTCCATTATTGTGTTCTCATCTTCCCGTTTCTGCTAATAAGGATTATGAATCATAAGGGTTTTCTTTGTCAGGTACCTGTACTGGTCTGACTGGGGTGATAATCCGCATATCGGCCGCATTGGGATGGATGGCACCAACAGAATTGTGATCATACAGGACAAGTTAACCTGGCCCAACGGTCTCACTCTGGACTTCATCAATGATCGCATCTACTGGGCAGACGCCAGAGAGGACTACATTGAGTTTGCCAGCTTAGACGGATCCAACAGACATACAGGTGAAGACAAAATCTCAAATATAAGCCATTCCGTGAAGGGGCCGCAGGTTATCAGAGCTGTTTTTTTTTGTATTCAGTATAGCAGCAGGCCTGACTATAAACTCTAGTTAAGAGGATAGTATGAAGTAACTTACACTTTAGCAAGTTAACCATTTTTAGCATATCTCCAATATGAATAGTTCAAAAATAAGCAAAGCAAGCTCTTCATGACTGGACAGCCAGGCCAAACATCTTAGATAACGATAACTAACTGTTATACAATCATAAAATAAAAATATATACTAATAATTTTTAGTTTTAGGCTTACATAGATTTTGACTAAGTTAATCAAAATACAATAGTATAGTAATATTGTGAATTTTATTTTTTTTACAATTTAAAATACCGGTTCTCTATGTGAATATCTGTTAAAATGTAATTTATTCCTGTGATCAAAGCTGTATTTTCAGCATCATTACTCCAGTCTTCAGTGTCACATGATACAGAAATCATTCTAATATGCTGATCTGCTCCTCAAGAAACATTTCTGATTACTATCCATGTTGAAGACAGTTGTGCTGCTGAATATTTTGTTTTTTTCTTTTGTGGAAATTCTGAAACTTTTTGCTAATTTTAATGCATCATTGCTAAATAAGTATCAATCCTTACTGACCCCAAACTTTTGAACAGTAGTGCATTTAATAAATAACATATTAAATAATAATGATAAATAATTAGAAAATAACATAAAATGCATCAAATATGAATTAGAATATGAATTATTAAATTCCTACTAAGTGCTTCATTGAATTGAGGAGAGTATTTTATGTTTGCTTGTGCAAGGTTGCTATGTGTGTGTTATGTTTGTGTAGTTAGTAATCCCTGTGTTTGTGCTGCAGTTTTGACTCAGGACATCCCACACATATTCGCCATGACTCTGTTTGAGGAGTACATCTACTGGACAGACTGGGAGACCAAGTCCATCAACAGAGCTCATAAAACACTGGGCACCAACAAGACCTTGCTGATCAGCACCTTACACAGGCCCATGGACATCCACATCTACCACCCCTACAGACAGCCAGAGGGTCGGGACACTCTTTTACACACACTCGTCTATCCCGGCCACTGTCAAAAACCATCTTAGATGATCTTGTTTCATGCCTTGATGTTATCTTTCTTGAAATTGAAGGAGCTGTAGCTTTAACGTCATGCTCTCTTGTCTCCCATTGTAGTCACAAATCACCCGTGTCAGACAGACAATGGCGGCTGCAGTAACTTGTGTCTGCTCTCTCCGGGTGGAGGTTATAAATGTGCCTGTCCCACTAACTTCTACCTGGCCGCTGATGGGAAACAGTGCATGTCCAACTGCACCGCCAGCCAGGTGAGCGCATGATACTTGAGCTTAGACTTTTAGACCCAGTCTTAAACAGAATGACATGTACCATTTCTCATTTGAAATATGTTCCTCTAACATCTCTCATCAGTTTGTCTGCAAGAATGACAAGTGTATCCCGTTCTGGTGGAAGTGTGACACTGAGGACGACTGTGGCGACCGATCCGACGAGCCTGCCGACTGCCGTGAGTGATGTGGATTTGAGGGAGATACATTTGCTCCCTGTGGCGTAACTAACAGATGTGTAATAAAAGCACATTTGTACATATTTCTTTCAACAGCTGAGTTTAAATGCAGACCAGGTCAGTTCCAGTGTGATACTGGGATCTGTACAAACCCAGCGTACATCTGTGACGGAGACAACGACTGCCAGGATAACTCTGATGAGGCCAGCTGCGGTATGTTTCAACACATGCTTTTACTTTTGCGCAAAATGTCAAAATGGATGTTGACTTTTTCTTTACTGTACTAAAGTAAATTTTTCAAATAGGTATATTTTCCTCAGAATATTTTTATTTTGGAAAACTTTTACTTCACTTTTTGCTCCCATGAATTTCATAAAAAACATATTGTTCCTTGCTATTTTGAACTGAAGAAATTGAGGCGTGATAGCATTGTTGATTCTTTTCATTGAACCCGCTGAATCAGCTCTGATCCAATTGCAGCTCTTCTAACTATAGATAATGTTAAATGAATGCAAAGCATGCCCATGCACCATCTCCTCTGCTACAGCAGTTCATACAGTATAATGATCTAATGAGATATAAAACTAGTGTATTTGCAAAACAATATTCTTAAAATATTAACACATTTTGCTCCATGTGAAGTTTTTATATTGTTTCTACTATGTGTCACACATTTACATACATTCTGTTTTTCTTCACTTTTAAATACTATATTATATATTTTGTGAAGCAAATGAGGGAAGCGTACTGGTGCACTCGTGAAATTCCAACAGCCGGGAATTTCAGTTAGGACTCCGCTGTCAAGCATTCATCGGGCAAATCTCCCGCTCCCTACCAAAAGAACAAACAAACTACTACTCCTCACCTGCACAAACAAGGACTTTTTAAACTCTGCTGGGCTTTGCTTCATGGAAACCTGGTTGAACAGAGCCATCCCAGACAGCGAGCTTCATCTAACGGGCTTCCAGCTGTTCAGAGCGGATTGCGTCACCGAGTTGTCGAAGAAGAAGATGTGCTGCCTAAATGTGGAAGCTTTCTTTATTAACTGTAAGCCTTTTTATTCGCCGTGGGAGTTTTCCTCGTTTATTCTGGTCAGCGTGTACATTCCTCCTTACGCGTGTGTGAGCACGGCGCTAGAACAGCTGGCTGATCAGATCACACACACAGAGCAGCGTTATCCGAACTCTTTCATTATCATTCTGGGTGATTTTAATAAAGCTAATCTCACCGGCGAACTGCCTAAATACAGACAGCACATCACATGTCCCACCAGGGACAGTAATATACTTGACCATTGTTACACAGTTTTAAAGGATGCATATTACTCTGTCCCCCGAGCGGCTCTGGGACTCTTATCACTGTTTAGTTCATCTCCTACCAGCCTACAAACAGAAACCTAAATCTGCTAAGCCCATGGGCGACATTAGGGGGGGGGGCAATTGCTCCCCCAAATTGTTAGTCATGGAATCCCAAGCGCTAAATACCCTCAAAGTGTTTTTGCAGCATTGAGCAATGTAACCAATCACAGACATATCTGTTGATTTATTAAACACAATGGCCAATCAGAAACGTTTTGTCAGAATTCACTCACTGCTGAAAGCGCCGCAGTTTTTAAGTGCAGTTTTGCACGCTCGTGAATCATCTCATGACCTTTCACACGGTACGTGGCAGTCGCGAGTGTCTAGTTCATTCAACAATGGGAGACATGCGGAAAGCGGCAAAACGCGTGCGGTTTCACTGGCGTAGACAGAGCACAAGCGGTGCTCCTGCACCCAAAATCCTGCCGCTTCCACGGGCAAGGCGCTTCGCGGCAGGCGCCGCCAAAGATAAAAATATTTTATCTTTTTGTGAGCGGCAGCAGCAGCTGCGTCGGTTTCAACCAATTAGTGAACAGATTACTAACAACCATGACCACATCAATATGATTTTTTTGCATTTCCAGCAAATCCCTGCACCTGGGATGCATTGTTTAGGCTCAATTAGTTTTCTCAATTTTCCTTTAAAATGATATTTCATTCAAACTTTTACTTCAATCATGACCTCACAGGTAATAATGTTTCAACAACTTCACTTGTGCCAAATGAAAAAAAAGGTAAATAATGACAACAATTAATGACAGAATGACACAAACACAAATTTCCGTTATGTTTTATTTAGTTTTTAGTAAATGCAAAGGTGACGTTGACAATTGTAACTATGGCAACGTCCGCTCCGAGACTGCAACGTGACCACCGCCTCAACTGCACAAAACGCTTCCACTACAAGAGAAAGTGGCAGCCGCGCGGCGATTCCACCGCTTGCCGCGTCCCGTGTGAAAGGGCCTTAAGTGCAGATGCATTGTAAATAAGAGATTCATTGTGCAGTTTAGAGAGCTTCATTGATTATGAGATTATGAAGATGAGTGACGCTTTTCTAGTGATAAAGGGAGCACGCTTTGCGCACTTTGTAGGGTATAATCCATTCAGAATTTGTATGAAACTTTCGTTTTTCGGACACATAGGCTACACCCTGCAAAGTTTCGGGAATGACATCTGCATATATATATGAGGGATTCACTCTCGAAATAGCAGTGATTGGCAATGGATGGAACATATGTTGATTTAATTCTGGAACCGGTCCTGGCCAAACCTCCACAGACAGCATGCGTCCCGAGCGAGATCTAATTCACAGACCAAAAGCGTGTGTAAACTTTATTGAGATCGGGACATATCAACCCGTAATTTCATTTCATTTCCAGTAACGGACGGTAGAAAGTTCAGCAATGAATGGTATGCGATTTATGACAGAATATAGTCCCACAACTGATCGTTTATTTTTTCCTCACGTGTCTCGCCTTTAGTAACAACGATTCAAAACGGAAACATTTCAAGTGACACGGGAAAAAGACATGGAAAGCTTCAGTGAACATCAGAAAAGCAGTGTGCACATTTCTGGTTAAAAATGAAAGGCCATCAACTGACAAACGGGAAGCATCACCATTCAAACCAACAGAAAGAGCCAAAGCTAGTCCACAGTTTACTAAACGGTGGCATCCTCTTTAAGTTATTCTTGACTGTGTTGGATTGACTGCTTTGATGCGTTGCAAAACGGTAGGGCATTGTTTTGATGCTTACATTGAGAAAAAAAAAAACGTATTTATTTATTTCATTTATATATATATATATATATATATATATATATTATATATAAGTACTTTTTTTTTTTGCCCCCCCCTGACTCAAGAGTCAAATGTCGCCCATGGCTAAGCCTGTAGTAAAAACTGTAAAGAGATGGACTAATGAAGCAAAGCGGGATTTACAAGCCTGCTTCGACCTAACTGATTGGAGTGTTTTTGAGGCTACAGACACTGATCTGGATGAGCTCACTGGCAACGTGACATTCTACATCCGTTTCTGTGAGGACATGTGTGTTCCCACCAGGATCTATTTAACATTTAACAACGACAATCCTTGGTTCAGTGCAAAACTCGAACAGCTTTGCCAGGCCAATGAAGACACCTACAGGAGTGGGGGGACAAAGCTTTGTACAAACAGGCCAAATACACACTGAATAGGGAGATAAGAGTAGCTAAGAGAAGCTACTCTAAAAAGCTGAAAAAACTGTTCTCAAGCAATGACCCTGCATCAGTGTGGCAGGGCCTGAAAGCCATCACCAGCTACAAGACCCCGTCCTCCAGCCCTGATGAGAATCAACTCTTAGCTGACAGTTTGAATGAGTTTTACTGCAGGTTTGAAAAACCTGGTCTCACACCCCACACCCGCTCTGACCGTCTCACAACACAGCCATCAACACACTCCCCCTCCCTCCCCCTACTGCTTCTCAGCCTGTACTTAAGATCTGTTAAGATGATATACACAAAGTCTTCTGGAAACAGGAGACAGGGAAAGCCAAAGGCCCAGATGGTGTCTCTCCAGCCTGCCTCAAAATCTACGCTGTCCAGCTGTCATCTATCTTCACACTGATCGTTCAACAGATCCCTGGAGCTGTGTGACGTCCCCTCCTGCTTCAAACGCTCCACCATCATCCCTGTACCCAAGAAACCAAAAATCACGGGACTAAATGACTACAGACCTGTTGCCATAACGTCTGTGGTCATGAAGTCATTTGAGTGACTGGTGTTGGCTTATCTGAAGGACATCACTGGACCCTTGCTGGACCCCCTGCAGTTTGCTTACCAAGCAAACAGGTCTGTGGATGATGCAGTCAACATGGGACTACACTACATCCTGCAACATCTGGACAAACCAGGGACTTATGCAAGGATCCTGTTTGTGGACTTCAGCTCAGCTTTCAAAACCATCATCCCAGATCCCCTCCCGAATAAACTGACCCAGCTCTCTGTACCCACCTCCATCTGTCAGTGGATCATCAGCTTTCTGACAGACAGGCAACAGCTAGTGAGGTTGGGAAAACTCACATCCACCACCGAAACCATCAGCACTGGAGCTCCTCAGGGCTGCGTTCTCTCCCCACTGCTCTTCACCCTCTACACAAATGTCTGCTCCTCTGACACCACAGTCATTTGTCTCATCCAGGACGGTGAGGAGTCGACTTACAGATTGAGCAGCTAGCCTGGCTGTCTGCTGCAGTTATAACAACTTGGAGCTGAACACGCTCAAAACAGTGAAGATGATCGTACACTTCAGGAGAAACCCCCTGCACTCCCCCCACTCACCATCATGAACAGCACTGTGGCTGCAGTAGAGTCATTCAGGTTCCTGGGCACCACCATCTCTCAGGACCTGAAGTGGGATATTCACATTGACTCCATCGTGACAAAGGCCCAGCAGAGGTTGTACTTCCTTCATCAACTGAAAAAGTTCAACCTGCCACAGGCGCAGATGACACAGTTTTACTCAGCTGTTATTGAGTCGGTTCTGTGCTCTTTTATAACTGTCTGGTTTTGGTCAGCTATCAAATCAGATATAAGAAGACTGCAACAGACTGTTAGGTCAGCTGAAAGGATAGCTGATGTGCACCTGCCCAACCTTCAGGACTTGTACAACTCCAGAGGGAAGAAATGGGCAGGTAACATCATCACAGACCCCTCTCACCCCGGCCACAACCTGCTTGCACTTCTCCCTTCAGGGCTGCAGTAGAGACATTCAGGTTCCTGGGCACCACCATCTCTCAGGACCTGAAGTGGGATATTCACATTGACTCCATCGTGACAAAGGCCCAGCAGAGGTTGTACTTCCTTCATCAACTGAAAAAGTTCAACCTGCCACAGGCGCAGATGACACAGTTTTACTCAGCTGTTATTGAGTCGGTTCTGTGCTCTTTTATAACTGTCTGGTTTTGGTCAGCTATCAAATCAGATATAAGAAGACTGCAACAGACTGTTAGGTCAGCTGAAAGGATAGCTGATGTGCACCTGCCCAACCTTCAGGACTTGTACAACTCCAGAGGGAAGAAATGGGCAGGTAACATCATCACAGACCCCTCTCACCCCGGCCACAACCTGCTTGCACTTCTCCCTTCAGGCAGACGCTACAGATCTCTGTGCACTAGAACATCAAGCATAAAAACAGTTTTCCCCCATGCCATCTCAGCTTAAACAGCTAAATACAGAATACACCTGTCTTCTGTAATTCATTTCTCAATAACTAATTATTGCCTCTCTCTCAAGTATTATGTAAATACATATTCATATGTTTATTTATACAGGTGTATAGACAGTAAATAATGCACAAATCTGTACATAAATCTTCTGTTCCAGATGCATATCCCATTATTATCATTTATTTATTTATTTTTCATTAGTCTTATATAAATATTATTTCTGTTCTCAGTGTCATATACAGGTGCATCTCAATAAATTAGAATGTCATGGAAAAGTTCATTTATTTCAGTAATTAAACTCAAATTGTGAAACTTGTGTATTAAATAAATGCAATGCACACAGACTGAAGTAGTTTAAGTCTTTGGTTCTTTTAATTGTGATGATTTTGGCTGATATATCCAGAATATGCACAAACGGTATTAATGCTGTGCTTGTGAACTTTATGATTACTCAGATTATTGTTAATAGTAAGTACAAGTACAGTATTCATAGACCACTAGTGTCTTTTATCGTCATGTTGCTATTGCTGCTGTTTTATAAAAGCTTGACTTTGTGCCTAAGAACACTGTATCATCTGTGGTAAGACTCTACCTCAGCTGGCTCCAGTAGAGCAATAACCTTATCAATTTTAGTCCACTGATGTGTTTGTATGTGTGTTTTGCAGATATCCATGTGTGTTTGCCCAGTCAGTTTAAATGCACCAATCCCAGTCGCTGTATTCCCGGAATATTCCGCTGTAACGGCCAAGACAACTGCGGAGAAGGAGAGGATGAAAAAGACTGCCGTGAGTTTCATTATAAGACAATAAGACATAAAAATAAGACGTAAAAAGCCTTTTGTGTTTTAATAATCCCATAAAGTCATGTTGTGATTTTGATTTTAATGTGATCAATTGTAAAGCCGCACGCATACATACAGTCAGTAAGATTTTATATATATATATATATATTTTTTTTTTTTTTTAAAGAAATTAATACTTTTATTCAGCAAGGATGCATTAAATGGATCAAAAGTGACATAAAACTAAATTCATAATATTGCAAAATATTTCTTTTCTAATGAACTTAATCAGGTATATTTGATTAGGGAGACATCCAAAGGGGCTCCAGGGCTAGAGTTGATAAGAAATGTTTCAGACAACATTTCTGATAAGAAAATATCAGACAAATGGCCAAGGAAATAAATAGATACTATATATACAAAGTAAATAACGAGAACCTAAAAAAACAGGTGTGAACAATCAGAAACCTTGAACTATAATCAGTCACGTTGGAAACTAAACGGAACAGGAACTAAACACGGAAAAACTCAACACAAAAACAAAGACCAAAAGGAACGAAATATACTTCAAAGTAAAAGTCCTTAGAAACACAGAATACAGGTGGAATATTACAGCTAGCGCCATAAAAAAAGAAAAGAAAGTCCAGGTGGGAAATGGTAGATCCCAGAAGGAAGGAAAGGAAGGCCAGGACATCAAAGTCAAAAGTCAAAGTCTGCTTTATTGTCAATTCTGCCACATGTACAGCACATACATACAGAGAATTGAAATTGCATTACTCTCAGACCCTTGGTGCATACAGTTAACACTTAACACTAACAGTAGACATAAAACAGATAAATACAGTTTAAAAAATATATTAAATACAACCTATACAATATATAAATAAGGACATTGTAAAGAAAAAAAGATAGAAAAAGTGGCATAAGGCACATGGCAGTTAGAGTGCAAACCAGTGATATAAACTACTGTGAAAATATAAGTGTAGTGCAAAAAGAGCTTATCAGTCTGTTAAAGTGATAAAGAGCTAAAGAGCTCAGAGAACAGTCTTTAATTAAACTGTGCATATGCAGATGTCATTCCCTTAAACAGCAATCTCCTTCGTCTTCTCCACATTCAGAGAGAGATAGTTGTCACTGAACCACCTGGCCAGGTGGCTCACCTCGCTCCTGTAGTTTGTCTCATCTCTGTTGCTAATGAGACCCACTACAGTTGTGTCATCCGCAAACTTAATAAAGAGGTTGGAGTTGTGTGACGGTGTGCAGTCGTGTGTCAGCAGAGTGAAGAGGAGGGGGCTCAGCACACATCCTTGCGGGGCCCCAGTGTTCAGTGTGATGGTGCTGGATGTGTTACTGCCGACCCTCACTGAGGTCTCCCAGTCAGGAAGTCCAACAGCCAGTTGCACAGCGAAGTGTTGAGCCCCAGCTGGACCAGTTTGTGAATGAGCTGTTGAGGGATGATTGTGTTGAATGCTGAACTGAAGTCTATGAACAGCATTCTAACATATGAGTCTTTTTTGTCCAGATGTGTGAGTGCTGAGTGGAGGGTAGTGGCGATGGCGTCATCGGTCGAGCGTTTGGACCGATATGCAAACTGGAAGGGGTCCAGGGAGGG